AAAGAAAGAAAGAAAGAAAGAAAGAAAGAAAGAAAGAAAGAAAGAAAACAAAACAAAACTATGTGAAATGAGATTATTATATTATGATTAAAAAGGCGATGAATGGAAACTAAATATAATTCCATATATAAAATTTGGTTAAATGGAGGCAAAGAGGAAAAATGAAATGGTTATGTGAATATCTCTGGAATAAACGTAAGACTCATTGTAGCTGGGGGGGGGGGGAATACTATGTGGATCCTGAATGGGAGGGGAAAGAAACACATTCATATAAAATAGTAAATAGGGAATCATTGCTAATTGGAAGGTAATAATTGAGAATGATTCTATTGATATTAGTTTTCTTTTCTTTTTGTTTTTTTTGTTTGTTAGACATCGGCTTTGAGAAAATAAAAGAAGAAAACGTGTAAAATAAAACAGGTGGTAAGCTGGAAATGAAAATAGAAAGGGGATAAATAGTGGAGCATGTACTTTAGGATGAAAATGTTTTTTGTTACTGGAATGATGGATGAAAAAATATGAAGCAAAAATGTATTCAAAGGAAAACGGAATAGATAATGATTTGATGTGAAACTAGATAAGAAAGCTGGAAATGTAACTATGACGATGGATGGATGTTATAAACCGGAATCACATTGCTCGCTTGGAGAGATGTATAAAAAATAAAAATTATTATTAAAAAGAAGAAGGAAAAGAAAAAGGAGAAGTCCACCCTGGAAGACCCTGAGTGGCAACACCCCCCCCCAGGCAGATCCAGAAGAGGATGGAAATCAGCTGCCTCCCCCCTCCCTCCCTCCTTCTGAGCCCCCTCCCCTTCCCTCCTTTCCCGGCCGCTGCCATTTCCACTTCCACGGGCAGCCCAGCCAATCCCCTCTCCCCCTCCTGTCCTGGCCTTAGAGCAGACTTGCCTCTTCTTCCTCCTCTTCCTCCTCCTCTTCCACATCCAGGATCCCAGAATCCTGCTCGGAGCTCGGACTGGTGCTCTTGAGTTCCGGCCCCGAATTCTTGCCGGCCTCTGTCCTGCCCCTTCGGCCCCGGGACCTCAAGGGCTGCCCCACCAGGCCATCCAGGCTCCTCTGTTGCTGGGCCTAGGACACAAAACGGGGGCAGGAGGGTCAGTCGGAGCGCCGCTGCCTGTCGCACAGGGGGCCCTTCTCATTATTATTATTATTATTATTACCTGGCCCCCTTTGGAGGTCGTCCCGTTGGAAGCCCCACCTGGCTGAGGGCAGACCTGAACGGCCCAGCGGTAGGAAGACCTGGACCCCCAGGGGCCCCACCTCTGCCGCCATTAAGGACCCAGTTATTTCCCCTCGTGCCCCCCCCACCCCCGTCAGTTCCATCCGCCAACATCTGGGCACCAGAGAACCCCGAAAGCCATCCAGAGGCACCCTGGGAAACCTCCATTGTGCACTGCAGATGGATACCAGCTGTCCGTCTTCTTCTGCCAAGACGTTATAGCCAGGGCAAGCTGGAGGAGACCCTCCCCAGGCAGGGTCCTCCCCCCCACACCCCCATACATTAACAACTTGCATCCCCCAGTGAAACATGTAAGAAACATGGGGTGTGGGGGTGTGTGCAGCTTGCAGCTAAGACAAGAAAGATGCTATTTTCTCTAGAGACTAGCAGGAGCCGGTTTGGATGGAAGAAGGAACTTCTTTTCAGATGACAAGAACACGCCAAGGACATGCCACACACGTGCAAACACACACAGAGAGAGATTTGTATATGTACACTTGCAGGGGGCGCAGAATTGCAGTTCTTCCTCGACTTATGACCCCAATTGAGCCTGAGCTTTTCTGTTCTTTAAGCGAGACAACTTGTTCAAGTGAGGTTTGCCGACATTTTTGCACCCTTTCTTTGCCACGGGCTGATAGTGAATTGTTGCCATCGATAAAGTTAGTCCCTGGTGTTGTGAAGTGGGGCTTCCCTTGTCAAAAGGACGCAAAAGGGGATCGCGTGCCCTAAGGACGAACCCGTTGCCAAGCAGCTGAATTTGGACGATGGGAGTGTGGTGGACGGCTGCAAAGGTCGTAACTCTGAAAAAAAAAAAACGGTCCTGACTACCCTTTTAAACCAGGCAGGGCTTGTGGCACGGCCCCCTCCTGACCTCTAGTGGCCCCACAGCACAATTTCTGCCTTCGCACGTCCCAACTTGTACAAGACACACACACACACACACACCCCGTGTCCACTCTGTCTGTCACCTGTCTGAGCGGGTGCGGGTGGAGAAAGGCTGGTCTTCTTCCAACCTCTTCCCTCTCGCAAAGGATCTTTGGATCCCCAATTCGGTCAGGTTCCGAGTCCTGAAGCCCCCCTGCTCAGAGGTGGGCATTCGGCGGGTTCTGACCCGTTCTGGAGAACCGGAAGCGGGAATTTTGAGTAGTTCGGAGAACCGGCAAATCCCACCTCTTACTGGCCCCGTCAACCCCATCTATTCTCTGCCTCCCATTGAGTCCCAGCTGATCGGCTGGGTCTCCTTTGGTTGCCCTGCACAGGAGAACAGAGCTGGAAAGCAGGTTAGTGGGGTGGAGAGCAGAGGTGGTATTCAGCAGGTTCTGACCAGTTCTGGAGAACCGGTAGCGGAAATTTTGAGTAGTTCGGAGAACCGGCCAATCCCACCTCTGACTGGCCCCGCCAACCCCCGTCTCTTCCCTGCCTCCCATTGAGTCTCAGATGATCGGCTGGGTCTCCTTTGGTTGCCCTGCACAGGAGAACGGAGCTGGAAAGCAGGTTAGTGGGGTGGGGAGGGAAGGGGGATTTTCGCGGTATCCTTCCCCTGCCACGCCCACCAAGCCACGCCCACAGATAGTAAAAAAAAATGAATCCCACCACTGCCCCACCCCACCACCCCATCTATTTTCTGCCTCCCATCAAGTTCCAGCGGATCAGCTGGGTCTCCTTTGGTTGCCCTACACAGGAGATCGGAGCTGGAAAGCAGGTTAGGGGAGGTGGGGATGGAATGGAGATTTTACAGTATCCTTTCCCTGCCACACCCACCAAGCCACGCCTTGCCCACCAAGCCACGCCCACAAAACCGGTTGTAAAAAAATTTGAATCCCACCACAGCCCCTGATCTCCCTTCTAGCCTCTGCCCTGCCATGCCAGTCACGTACCCACATCCCCGGGTCCAACAGGGCCCTTCCCCTTCTGGGAAATAGTCGAAGATTCATGTATAGAGAGAGGGTTTTTTTTTTCCTATATACAGGTAGTCCTCAACTTACAACCGTTTAGTTCAAAATTGCAACGCCACTGAAAAATGTTCTTCACGCTTATGACCTGGGCAGCACCCCCACCCCACCCCACCCCCAGGGTCACGTGATCCAAATTGAGAAGATGGGGAACTGAAACTCGTATTTATCATGACCGTCGC